GTGTGTGTGTGTGTGTGTGTTTATCGGCTCTGTGTTTTTATTCGTGAGGCTGGCAGTGTACCTTATGGGGTTTCAAACGCCATGGGTATTCATCGCGGTCGCCGGTGTGCCGCTCTTCATGATTTACACCAAAGCCAAGCGCATCGACGCAAAGGAAATGCACGAGGTGCAGATGCGCATCAAGTACCACTCCGAGTTCTGGGCGAGGGGTAACGACTTTGTGCGGGCACACAGCGGCTACGTGCAGCGGCAGCTGTGTGACACCGCCGATGCAATGCTCGGTGTGGAGATCACAGGTTCAACGGACTCAGCAGCAGCAGCAGCAACAGCACCAGCGACCCCCTGGTGGCGGCTGTGGCGGACAAACCAGAAAGTTAATAATAGTAGTGGTGATGAATGAGCGAAGGAACGAGGGAGATGATGCTGGTGGTAGTGGTGGCAGCTGTACCATGATCATGCCGTTGTCAAAAGTGGTGTAATACGGCATGTGTGTTACCGCTGCTGGGGCCGTTTTGTAATGGGTGATTGTGGATAGTCGTAGGGGGCTTGGTGGTGGTGTGTGTGGCTTGGTGTTGCTCTATACACCTGTGTGTGTGTGTGTGTGTTTGTATGGTGCACAGCTGGTGTACTACAGGGAGGGGAGGGTGCCCTCCACCGCAACGGCACTCTGGGCTTTGCTATGTTCCATGGTGTCCCTCCTCTTGTGTGCATTCCTTCTCCTGCTGTGACTTGTGTCATGTGTGTTCTTTCCTCTCACCCCCCTTACTTCTTCCCTTTGTGGCTTCTCGCCTGCTCTTCACACCACACAGGGGTCTTGCGTCTCCGGGACAAGCACAGTGTAGGGGTGTACTCAATACGTACGCACGCACACACTCGGAGGTCAAGGAGGAATTCTTTAGGAAGGTGACGGCAAATACAAACCAAGAAGGCTTAGGCCCCCCGCACACACAGAGAGAAGAAGAAGAAGAAAGCTAAGGGGGGAGATAGCAAAGCGGTGATTCACCATTTCTGTTTCTGAACATCCTTTGAAACAGCGGTCGGTGTCGTCGTCGTCGTCGTCGTCTGCGTGTGTGTGTGTGTGTTCGTGTGTAAGTCGTGATAATTGGAAGTGAAAAGAACTCAAGACACATACGCACTAGGTAGTGTTTGTTTTCGTGGTTTTTGGTTTCCTTTTTTTTTTTTTTTT